ATTCACCTCATTGCCGTAATTCTTAGAACTGGCAGCCATGGCCGCACTACGCCAACACCCGGCACCCACCTAATGGTTTACGCATGCCAATATACGTCAATCACGACAATGCTTCGCTACCCATGCCCGCTCTACCCAACCGTTCGCCGTCACCATCCGGATGACTGTCTCGCTCACCTAACCAACGCCGCTCTCCCTCTCCCCCACCCCTACCACCAGTCCTCGGAAAACTAGTGGGCGCAGCTCCTAGAGGTGAGCCTGCCTTGACTACCCAACCTGAAATTTCTCTGCGCACACTACCCGGACACAATAGCTTGATCAACGTAAATGTAGACGGCACACCTGCAATAGCACTCATTGACACTGGCGCTCACATATAAACTCTAGTCTTGAATGTGAACTATAGTCTTCGCGCTCGGTTAAAGAAAGTGCTTACGCCTGCTCCTATCACTGTTGTCCGAGTAGCTGATTGAGCAACGTCAGCTGTCACTGGGATGTGCGCCGCCCACGTCACTGTGGCTTGATGTCATACTTCTGTTTTGTTTTACGTCCTGGACCACTACCCACTTGAAATCATTTTGGGATTAGATTTTCTGCCGGAGCATTCTGACCTAATTGACTGTTCCGCTGGTGTCGCTCAACTTGCTTTACCACACGCCGTTGACCATCCTGCTCCTGCGCCGCCAAGGCTATGCTTCGTCGAGTACATTCGTCTATTATGTCAAGCTGTTACGTATGTGGACGTCTTTTCCGATCCGCCTGTGGCCGACGGAGATTATGTGGTGTCACCTAACGCTGCCGTCCCATCTTCGTTCAATGTAACGTTCCTACACATGATTATCACTATAAAGGACAATGTGGCACGTCTTCCTATTGTGAACTTTAGAGTTTGCACGCAAGTACTGCCCCGAGGAATATGCTTAGCAAAACTTGCGTCGGGCAGGGACTACAACATTCCCGCTTTAACAAAGGATACACCATCACCTCCCAGTCTTCAGTTGGGCACTATCCGAAATGGCATAAAGAAAATTATTGCATCTCATTTCTCTGCCGAGCATGTGCACGCGCTTCGTGAGCTTCTTGCGTCGTCTGAAGTCATATTTGATCTCCACGACCGACCACTAGGCCAAACGACCGTCATAAAGCATTGGATTAACACCGGCGGTGCAAATCCGGTACATCGGCGGCCCTATCCGATATCCTCCACCAAATGCCACGTGATCCGGAAAGAAGTCGACAAGATGCTTGCTCGGAACATCATTGAGCCTTCTTCAAGCCCCTGTGCTTCGCCTATCGTCCTCGTCAAAAAGAAAGACAACTGCTGGCGTCTCTGTGTCGACTACCGGAGTCTTAACAAGGTAACAAAAAAAGACGTGTATCCCCTGCCACGGACAGATGACGCCCTTGACTGCCTTAGTAGAGCAAATAATATTTCTTCTGTCGCCCTCCGTTCCGGCTACTGGCAGATAGCAGTTGATGACATGAACCGTAAAAAGACAGCATTCATATAACTCCCGACGGACTCTATCAGTTTAAAGTAATGCCATTCGGGTTATGTAATGTCCCAGCTACATCTAACGAATGGCGGACGCTCTCCTTCACAGTTTTCAATAGTCAATCTGCTTGTCTTACCTTGATGACGTCATTGTCTTCTCACCGACTTTTCAAACACACCTCGAGCGTCTCTCGACTATTCTTTCTGCTATCCTCAAAGTGGGGCTTCAGTTAAACTCGTCGAAATGTCAATTCGGCCGCCACCAACTTACTGTCCTTGGTCACCTTGTTGATTCTTCTGGTGTTCGTCCCGACCCTGAGAAAATCCGCGCAGTCAAATATTTTCCTTTGCCGACCTCCACAATTGACGTTCGAAGCTTTCTGGGCCTCTGCTACTAATTTGGCAGATTTGTGCGGAATTTTTCTCACGTCGCGCGCCCACTCACGGAACTACTGAAGATGTGACTTTCGTCTGGGGACCTGAATAAGCCAGAGCATTCGCTGAGCTGACGGTCAGACTTACGACACCACTGATTCTCGGCCACTTTGATATGTCCGCTCCAACTGATGTGTGCACCGACGCAAGTGGCCATGGAGTCAGAGCAGTTTTGGCACAAAAACAGCGTGGCTGCGAGCGCGTCATTGCATACGCTAGCCATCTGTTATCGCCAGCGGAGCGAAATTACTCAATCACTCAACGTGAATGTCTTGCGCTCGTCTGGGTAGTGGGTAAATTTCGGGCTTATTTGCATGGACGGCCATTCACAGTTGTCACTGGCCATCACGCCTTATGCTGGCTGTCGTCCTTAAAAGATCCCAGTGGACGTCTCGGCCGGTGGGTTCGACGGCTACAAGAATATTCGTACATAGTCGTTTACAAATCAGGCCGCCACTTCGAAGATGCCGACTGCTCGTCGCGTCATCCATTTGACCCTCCGGACGTTCCTGAGAGCGGCGAGTCTACTTGCGTGCTGGCACTTTCCGCCTTCGGCAACATTGGAAATGAGCAACGTTATGATCCTCACTTGAGAGATATCATCATTCGGCTGACTGATCCTCCGTCTCTCCGTATGTTCCTGCTCCGAGATGGCGTATTATATCGCTACAGCATGCATTCTGATGGACCTGAGCTGCTACTGGTCAAACCCCAACATATGCGTCAGACTGTCCTCATGCAGTTACATGACATTCCAAAGGCTGGTCACATAGGAGTTTAAAGAACTTATGACCGTGTTCGACGTCACTTCTTTTGGTCTGGTATGTACCGATCCATCCATCATTACGTCGCTTCTTGTAAATCCTGTCAACATCGCAAAAAGCCAACAACCCTCCCAGTAGGACGCCTTCAGCCCATTCAGATACCATCAGAACCCTTTATAGGATAGGTCTTGACCTACTTAAACCTTTCCCTTTATCGGTCAGTGGGAACAAGTCGATAGCAGTCGCCACTGGCTACACCACTTGGTATGCCACCACGTGGGCCCTTCCTACCAGTTGTGCAACCGACGTCACCGACTTTCTCCTAGAAGACGTCAAACTACATCATGGCGCCCCTCGACAACTACTTACCACTCGGGGTCGCTACTTCCTATCCCTGGTTATACAAGACATGTTGCATTCATGCGCTACAAGACACAAGTGCACAACAGCCTATTTCCCTCAAACCAACGGGCTCACAAAACGGCTAAATCGAACTATCACAGAAATGCTCACCATGTACGTTTCCACCGACCATCGTGACTGGGACGCGGTCCTGCCATTTGTGACATTTGCCTATAACACGTCTCGGCATGATACTGCAGGTTTCCCGCCTTTTTTCCTTGTGTATGGACGAGCACCCACAATACCTTTTGACACGCTCCTTCCTACCGTTACCCACACATTGGACTAGGTCCGCAATGTTATCACTAGAGCTCTACAGACACGTGAAATTGCTCGCCTGCGTCTTAGTAATTCGCAAGACCGCCAACGACTGCTGCACCATGCCCGCCACCGCAATGTCAACTTCCAGCGTGGTGACAAGGTCCTTCTCAGAACGCCATCATGGCGACTTAGCCTCTGCGAAAAGCGACAGGGTACTTGGTTCCGTACCCTGTCGTGCGCGAAGTAACCGACGTGACCTGTGAAACTGAACCATTTCACAGCACCCGCGCCCGCTCGTGTTGTGACGTTGTGCACGTCTCTCGACTCAAGCGATAACACTCGGACCAACAGAGCACCGAGACGGTGCCTTCGCTGCCTGGGGGTGATGCTACGTGGCACCACGAATAACTCGAAACTCGATAAGAAAGAAGACGATGTCGGAGCTCTCGTGCAGACTGGATTCCATCTTGTATGTATGCCTGCTCGTTAAATTGATAGTAAGCATATTTCTCCGACGCCTTTTCTCCGTAACAATATGTACATTGCCGAAATGTAGAACAAACACTCATTCAAGTTGTAACAAAGTGAGTGTAAGGGACTGCATTGCGCGTAACCCGCGTAACTGCTACCGATAAGATAAATTCCTGGCCGACCGATCCAAGAAACAGCGTGGTAGGTATGGCTGGTACCAACAGTATATTGCACCACTATTTCTAAAGTAGATTCTGCAGAAACTTCATTGGCTACTGAATGGTTCCTTCGTAACACTAACACCATTGTTTTTATTCACCTTTACAAAATCTGACTGCGCGATCTTTATGCCAGTTAGAAACTGACCATTTCTTTCTGCAAATGTGTATTTACATTGGCCATAAAATAAGCTGCTGTATGAATCATAGGTTTCAAACTTACTTGTATTATTAGGGGTGCTTTGCAAACGCCGAAATCTACAGTAAGTTTCACCCTGAAGTGCTCCAGTCACAATGCACTTTGTCAATAAATTTGGTGCACATGGCGTACCAAGCCTTCTACTATAGCTCTCACAGTCTAAAATCTTGGAATGCCCTCTTCTGCAAACGAAGCTTCAACTTCCAGTTGGACATCATCAGTCAAGCCCTTACTGCTGCTGCGTCGTAAGGGTCTTCAGGCGATGGCTAGGGGCAATAGACAAGGTACACTTTCTTCTCACATGCACTCACTAATCACATAATATTTTGTCTGTTTGTTTCCTCCATCATAGTAAAGTTAAAAGGGAGGCATCAGAAAAATGGTAGAATAACAGGAGCTGCGTTTTCGTTGTGTTATAATACAATATATGACTAGATATCATTTAAAAGCTTTTTGGTGCAAGTGGATACCATGCACGCGCTACCACTTCTTTTTCGGAACAAAGTTGAATAACTAAAGCATCTACCTTAGGCATTATTCATGGCCAACAACCTCATATGACGCACACACCACATATGCAATGGTTTCGTATCAACGTATAAGAATCACACAAGATTTCAGGATCCTCAGAGCTATATACATGTTATTTGTATTATATAAAAAGTTAATAGCGATTATCTGAAGCATTTCATGACATTTTAATACGTAACCAGTGGCCTGAAGGTTCTAGGTCAGGGTTCAGTCACCGCAAAAAATGAAAGCTGATGCATATCATCAACCCGTTTATTGTAGAAAAATAACAAGGCGCTGCTAACGCCAATAACAATTAGTTCGTCCCAATGACCAAGGAATATGCGGTGGACATTTGCAGTTCTTAGGGCACGGGTCTTCTGAACAATTCTGTAAGCAAAACAGTGTCGGATGAAGCACGAAAAAAAGTGAACAATATTTTGAAAAAATACCGCTGTTACACGTTCAGAACATGAAAATGGCATACAAAGTGAATTCGACAATTTTCAAAATGTAAACAAATATCGCAACATTTCCTATTCGTATTCGGTGGCTTGTTCGTGTTGGCATGTTGAATATTGAAGTTTATATTGTGAATAAATATACTGTAGCCTAAATTGTGGTGTTTGAAGTGGTAATGAAATATAACGGGTGCTTCAAGTAATATGTCTGAAATCATGAAAACGATGTCAGAAAAATGTAGTATTTTTTTTCATGCTTTCACAAATACTTATTCTGCAGCCAGAGCTGTCTTCAAATGGCCCAAGAATTTGTTTGGGACAGTATTAAATCTAGTTCAATTACTTGTACATTTATTCAGTACAGTAAGGCTGTCATGCCTAATGTAGAAATCAAAGCTCTTCATGCAAAGAACTCATCGAAGCTTGGAGATATTGAAGAAGCAGGCTCTGATAATAAGAAAGGCTTAGTAAAATTTGACTGAATCCAAAATGTAATCGCAACTGAAACACTGATGAGCGCAACGAACAAATAAACATAATGACGTCACTTTTGAATACGACGCTTACAGAAGACTATAGTTCTGCATTCGTAAACATAAGTGCGTCCTGCATGCCTTGATTGTAGCAGACACAACGCAGTCAGCTGATGGCTTATGTAAAGATGCAAACCATTTCTGTACGTCTGGGAAGAATCGAGCAACTGCACTGTTCCTCGTTTCAGGTTCTGTGCTGCCACAAAATTTTGGCGCATTACATTCCCTTGCTATAATTGCTAGACAAAGCACTGCACCGCAATATCAAAGCTTCTATGGGTTCTTGTCATTGTTGACGGCAATTATCCAATCGTTTCTCTTCCAGTGACAGATGAGTGCTTTCAAGCAGTGTGTAATTAGCAGGTTTCAGCTGACATTTCCGAACCTACTTTGCTACAAAATAAATATTTTACCTGAGAAATTGAATGCAGCCTTTTCATCTTTGTATTTACTGAGTCGCAATGTACGTGCTAATTTTAGTACGTGCAATGCGTGCTAAAACTTCAAAAATTATACTAATAAATTTTATTTGTAGTGATTTTGTTAACATTTTTTTAAAGTAATTGGAGTATTTACCTAAATAATGGAAGAGGATTTAGATTTTTTTTTCTCGAAATGCCAGCAGAACTGACCACTGCGGACAGCACAAGGCAAAATAAGTGTTTTTTGAATACTAAAAGTTTTGACGAACGTGCAAAAATAGGCTGACATGCTAATTGAGTGTTCAATGTGGACGAAATTGATTCCTTCCACAAAAATATTGAGCTCAGCGATTTTTCTGAAGAGGAAAAAATACATTCTTTAGCGGGAGTTCTGGGTGTGTTTCCGATCACTCACGAAACTCCCTTGTGAAATACCTGAACAACATACACAAGCCACAAATAACAATACATGAGTACCAAACTCAATGATTACAAAATATTTTGTTTTTAAAATTCGGTAACAATTTTATGCGATTGATTATTAAAACAAAAACGTGCCCTCTCTGCAAATTCTACGTACTGTTTCACGCACAACACCACCGAAAAAGAGACTATCATGTTAAAGAAAAAAGGCCTGAAGGCAGCGTACGTTTAAACAAGTTATTTTGCAACTTAAATGTATTTTGAATTCCCAAAGAATTCTGTACTGGTTTTAGCTTACTCCGCCTCTCTGGGTGGTTCATTTGTTGTTGTAATTCAATTTGTTCACGCTGTCCGTTCAGTTAGCGCTCCAGCTTGTGGCGCAACAAAACTGTTATCTAGTTGATTCTATGTGCGTTGCGTACCAACACTTGTCGGTACTAATTAAAACACTTTCGCGTGACTATTTTATAGCATGACACACAAAGCGCAAAATAGATTGGCTAGGTTGGATGAGGATATCTCTGTAATAATTGTTTTACTCACATAATTTGCGCATAGTCTTAGGTCGTAAACGGTCAAGCGTGACTCACTTTTGCTCGAACCGTGCACATCAGCCCTGAAAAGACAAAAATAAATCACATGAGATTGAAAGTTTTGTTCCGCAGACACAACCTCCTATGTCATACAGTATTTAAAAAGATTTGTGCATTTTAGGAAAAAAATGTACAGCATATCCTGAAGGTGAATGATGACGAATGGGGGGCAGCTCTCTGAAGAGAGACGCATGGTTTCACGGATGGATGAATGGACGCATGGACGGATGAACGGAAGCATGGACGGACGGACACATGGATGGACGCATAGACGCACGGATGGAAGCATGGAAGGACGGACACATGGATGGACACATGGACGCACGTCTAGACAGACATACAGACAGACCAACGAACGGACGGACGGACGGACGGACGGACGGATGGACGGACGGGCGGGCGGACGGGCGGGCGGGCGGACGGACGAACGGACGGACAGACAGACAGACAGACAGACAGACGGGGGGACGGACAGACAGACGGGGGGGGGGCAGACGGATGGACGGGCGAATGGATGGACGAGGCCAGTGGATGATTCATGGTTTGCAGATAAAACCCTTCGATGCTTCGCCCCACTCAACATCTTTCACTCCATGGATATGCTGTGATTTTTCATGCGTTTACACAGGGATCCTTTTGCGTGTCTTGCCCCGCAGTGGCGCTTCATCCGAAGTGTTAGGTGGAATGCAAAATGAAACGCCCCAGGGCGTCGAAATTTCTGGAGTTCTTCACTACTGCGTCTATACGGTGGTTTTGGGACGTCAAGCTCCACATATAAAAATATTAGGTGCTTCCGACGCTCTTCTTTTGTTTGTTTGTTTTTGCTCAACAACAGGAGTGGGCACTTGAAGGGGCCACTTTTTTGTGTTTACAAAAAGTGCTTAACAATTCAGAGTACTAGGTACTCTACTATGGGACAGCATATAGCCGTCCCGTAGAATCTGACGACCACTTTGCAGTAATTAACGGTGCCTTTTTTTAGGGCGAAGCTCCTTAAAGCGGCACCCGTTCGTCCCTCGTATTCGTAGTCGTGGTGTGTAACCAGTGTTACATTTTGACCTGCAAGGTGGTATTGGTGGGAGATTTCTCCTGTGCTTTGTTGAACAATAAAAAGTTCGCGGCGTACGCGTTAACTAAAAGCCGATTGCTCCTGTCTCTCATTCCCCATTAGAGGCCATTGGCATGTACATTGAGCACTATCTGACAAGAAAGGGTTGCTACGTTACACTCGCTGGGTGTAACCTTTTTATTATTAGAAAGGTTTAGCGAAAGTTGAGCAGCTGTGCCATGAATAAAATGAACTAGTATTTACCATGAAATCGAGGAGGTTAAAGGTGGGAAGTAGATACAAAGCGCAGAGCGTAAGAAAGTAAAAGCCGAATTCTCCTGTTTCTCATTTCCCATTCGCAGCAATCGGCATGTACATTTAGCACTACCCGACAGGAAAAGGTAGCTACGTTATACTCGGTGGGTGTAACCTCCTTGGTTTTAGAAAGGTTTAGGTAGCGTTGGGCCGCAGTGGTATGAATACAGTGAACTAGTATATACCATGAACTCGAGGTGGTTAAAGGTGGGAAGTAGACCCGAAGCACAAGCCGTAAAAAATTGTGCGCGTTGCCCCTCTCGTTTAGTCCGTGGAATGTCCGCTGGATGGCGGTGCTTCTGTACGGGGAATATATGATGAAAAGATACGAGAAGGTGGTACTTGGAGAGTTGAATAGATGGACGAACGGACAGGTAGACAAATGCATGGATGGACGCATGAACGGACGCAGGGGCGGCTGCATGGACGAACGCAGGGACGGACGCACGAACAGACGCACGCACGGACGAGCGGATGGACGCAAGGACGGACACACAGACGTACGCATGGACGGAGGGAAGCAATAACGAACGGACGGACGAATGCTTCGCCTCACTCTCTATCATTCACTCCATGGATATGCTGCCATTTTTTTCCCTTGTGCGCGCCTCAATGGCAGTTCTAAAATGCAAAGAACATGAAAGATTCTTGCCCGTTAACACCACACAAACTGAAGTTTTCGTACACAGGGTGTCCCAGGTAACATTAGCAGAGTTTAAAAATATGCCGGCGCACGTGATTACGACGCGACCGAATGCATATTGCTCACCATTGCCTGGAGCTCATGAGGCTATTTCTTGTTCTTAAAAATTGTTGAAATAGAACTGTTTAATTAACTAACTTTAAATAAACGAAGAAAGAGCCCTTGTGTTGAAGTGATACGGTACATGCACAACAGAAACTGCTTACCCCTATGTCTGCATTCAAAAAATTTTTAACTTGTCATTGTTAAGTGGTGTTTTTTTCCTTCAACTATAACGCTATGGTAACTTCGGGCGTTGATGTCGTCATATGACATCGTCCCTTCGACAAGGCAAGCTAATTCATGGGGTTTTCCAACGCCACGCAAGATGTACAAAGATTTAGCACCGGGTAACATATCACTTAAGGGAGAACATTGAGGTGATACCATGCGTGACGCATATTATGGCTGGTTATGCTGAGAAGGTGTATGGGCACCAATCACAAAGCCTAACCCAATGCCAAGTAAGCAAAATGCTTTCCCATTAAAATGTCATGGCTTAGCACTCAGCGGGACATTTTCACCCATACATCGTGCCCGTATAATTTTCTTTACTAACCACTTCCCCGTGGTGCTTCAGCAACGATGTGCAATCTTTTGACGGACACCAACAGCGATCTCAAAACGACAAAGGCGTTGACGATGGTCTAATTTGAAATAGCAAAACGGCTGTCAGCCTGTTCATTACAAACTTTTCCTGTGTCATGATTGCTCTCTAACATCCAACCATTTATTTATTTTCGTACATATCTTAGTTCTTATATTTTATACTCCCAAGAGAAAAGTATGTTAATGATTTTGTTGCTTTTAGTTAGTTAGCACTGGTTGACGAGACAATAGCATACTCTGCACAAGTGAAGAACTTCATTTTGCTAAGAACAGACATTGGTCACCACGTGGAGAGTTGCCAAAAAGGCAATCCTCTAAGTAGCCAGCTGGAGATGTTGGTTTCGAGGCATCACTGCAAGAGCTGCAGTTCGGGTTTTGGAACACCGAACAAGCTACACACATATGTAGTTTAGAAGAACTTGTTGGTGGGTGAGTTGGTGCATATACAAAGAGAATAACTGGGCTACACACGTATAAACCAGACACATGCACACACACACACTGCGCCTGGGTGCGTGTATGGTCTATACGTGTGTTAGGCTAGACACGTTGTGCTCTAAAGCAAAGGAGGTACAGATGAGGGAGCGATGTTGCCAAGATGTAAATCAAGCGCTATGGCGCATCGGCTTTGCAGACTGACGGTCCACCACAACTCGCCATTCTACTATCGCTATCACGTGAAACAAGCAGGGAATCGCCTCAGCGAGTGTTTAGGTGAAAAATAACACTTTTCTTGACTTGTAAAGGTGAATAACGAGGTAACTTACGGTGAGTTCGTCGGCAACGTGTCACATTTAAAACAAAAATAGCGATTTTAGATAAAAATAATTGTTGGCATTTGGCATCCCCAAACAAACATGTCATATGAGAGACGCTGTAGTGGAGTGCTCCGGAAATTCTGATCAACTAAGATTTTTTACCTTGCCCCTTAATCTAAGCACTCTGTTCTCAAGCATTTTCTACTCCATCGAAAACGCAGTCCCTACGGCCGGGAACAGATCCCGTGACCTGTGGATGAACTGCCGAATGCCTTAGCCACTAAACAACCATGGTGGCTTAAGTCAAATATTCGGTCCTGCTTTCATCAACTTCCACTTTTAAAGAACACGTGCAAAGTTCAAGGATTATAGGCGATAAAAAGTCCTAGTTTACGAAAAACTTCATTACCATCATAGTGCTGCCTCGTCACATTGCGCTCCAATAAACAAAATTCATACAACCAACGAGCATAATCGGCCGCCCACCACATCGGCGGCCGAGCCAGCCCTCGAAATTTCTAGATGAAAAGGGCGTGGTGATGCCGGGTTGAGTCATCCGTCGCGGACGGCCCTCGTACCGTCTCGCGCTTTCCTCCAGCCTTCGCTGCGCATCGCGCCGGCGAAATGATGAGAATTTTCTGGAATCGCGCGCGGAAGGTATTTAACCGAGCAGTGGAGATGGGAGATCAGGAGAAGATGGAAGTTAGCACCAGAGCGCGTAGGGATTCTGCCGTGTAGTCGGCGAAGGTTTTGTCTGTAGAGACAAAGCAGGAGAAGAAGATGATATCCACCTGAGGGGTGACGACTCGAGCTACAGGCAAGAGTGTGTGTTTACCGCTATCGAGCGAAGACGCGTGGCAACAGCTGCGTGTGTGAAGCCGACGTGTTTCCGGCAAAGAAGTTGAAGCTTGGAGAGTGGCCAATTGAAGACGCGAGGTTTCTTGGAATAGAAACTACGGCGAGGTTTCCTGGACGAGAAACTTCGGCGAGGTTTCCTGGAAGAGAAACTTCAGGGGCAGCGGAACGACAACAACGCTGGACTTTGAGTGAGTGATTCTCAGAAGAGTATCACCCAGACTTTTGTTCCAAGAACTTTGGACTGAATAAGTTTTCGAACTCTTTAGTCTTTAAGTGTCTTGGTTGCTCGATGCATGCTACTGCATTGTAGTGCGTATTGTTGTCTGTGTCCGTTGTTTCGAGTGTGGCTGATTGTACTGAGTAGTACGTTGTTTGATTGGTGACATATTGTACTCAACTACTGTGGAGTGTGCATACTTGTGTATTGATTTCGATCTGCCATTATTGAGAATATAATTTTGTTTGTTTATCAACTCTCGGCTCTGACTTGTTCTTTGGGCCACAGCCGGCATCCGCTGGCGCGCCAAAAAGGACCACTTCTAAATTGTCCACGCTTTCGTGGTGCGGTTCGGGGGGCCGATACTTAGACCCTTGGAATTAGCCAGGCGATCGCCTCCCTAATTAACGGGACTTGTAACAATTAATCTGGCATCCGCGACAGGACCCTGCACAGTGTGTCCAGAGTAGTGAGAAAGAGCCTCGAGTTGTTGATAGTGCTATCGGAACGATTTTGTGTGTTGTTCAGTGTTCTCGTTAACTAGTGCAGGAGAGTGTTCCGATTGACTGATTTAGGCAGATACTTTTTATACGTGGCAAGGCTTTATTTGCGAGACATCATGGATCTCGAAAAGTTAGTTGCTCTTGGTGAGAAGATGAGTCTTTCTGGCGCCGAACTTCGGAAATGGGTAAGCCAGAAGGAGAAAGAGGCGGTGGAGAGAGAGGGGTTGGCAGCTGAGAGAGCCAAGGAAGAAAAAGCCGCTGAATTGGAACGAGAGAGGTTGGCAGCTGAGAGAGCCAAGGAAAAAAAAGCAGCTGAGTTGGAACGAAAGAGGTTGGCAGCTGAGAGGGCCAAGAAAGAAAAAGCAGCGCAGTTGGAAAGAAAAAGGCTGGCCGCTAAAAGGGTGAAGGAAGAAAGAGATCAACAATTGAAGTTGGAGTTGGAGAGAGAGAAGTTGGCAGCCGAAAGGGCGAGAGAAGAAAAAGAAGCGAGAGAGCGACAGCTGAAGGAAGAAAGAGAAGCGAGGGAGCGACAGCTGAAAGAAGAAAGAGAAGCGGAGATGGCTGAAAGGGAACGGCAGCGGCAGCACGAGATGGAACTCGAGCGGCTCCGTTTGCAACAGCGAAGTGAAACTCTCGTCCAAGCTAGAGTTAAAAGCAGCGAACGGGAAGATCATGGCTTCCGCTTGAACCCAAGCAAGCTGCTCGTAGCGTTTGATGAAAGGAAGGACGACCTTGACGCGTACCTTCACAGATTTGAGACGATTGCAGGGAGCCAGGATTGGCCGGAACATCAATGGGCAACTGCTTTGAGTACTTGCTTGAGTGGTGAAGCGCTCAGTGTGTACGGTAGGCTGACGCCGACCGATGCAGCCAACTATGCAAAGGTGAAAACTGCTTTGCTGAAGCGATTTAGATTCACCGTGGAAGGATTCTAGGACAGATTTCGGACAGGAAAGCCAGCTGATGGTGAGACGGCTACGCAGTATGCCGCCCGACTTTGCCATTATTTCGACACATAGATTGAACTTTCAGGGACCAAGCAGGAGTACGATGAGCTTAGAGAGCTCCTAATTTGAGAACAATTTCTTACTAGTTGCCACCCAAGCCGGTCGCTGTACTTGAAAGAGAGGAGAGCTAAGTCACTTGAAGACATGCTTGAATTAGCTGATCAATTCTTGGAAGCGCAAGGTGGCACTAATTTGGCCAAGGTCAAGAAGGAGTGTCCCAAAGACTCGAAAAATTCGGCACCAGAACAAAAGAAGCGTGCACCGGAGAGTGTTCCGCGATGTTTTCTGTGTAACCGAGTAGGTCATCGCGCGAGCAACTGTCGTACTAACTTTACGAGCCCTACGGTAGTAAAATGTTTTAAGCGTGGTCAGACTGGGCACAAAGCAGACGCATGTCGAAACGGAGCGAGTCAAACTCACCAGGTATCCTGTGTGCAAGCGGCACCGCATTCCGGTAATAATGCCGTTACCGATGGATTCGTAGAGTTGAAAAATGGGGAGAAAATTCCTATTGTGGGTGCTGTAATGACAAAACAGCCAACCGGTGTTACGAAGGAAATGCCAACACTGCCAGGAAAAGTTGCGGGCAAAAAGGTTACGGTGTTAAGAGATACCGGTAGCTCCACTGTTATCGTGCGAAGAAATTTGGTACGGGAAAGTGAGTTAACAAGTGAAACGAAACCAGTCTGCCTAATTGACAGTATGGTTCGTATGCTTCCCCAAGCAGAGATTGAGGTCGAAACCCTGTACTTCAGCGGGAAGGTTACTGCTCTATGCATGACGACCCCCCTGTACGACCTCGTCATCGGAAACATCGACGGGGCGCGAGGGCAGAATGATCCAGAATGTTTCGGAGAAGACCCTAAGATAGAGCCCTCGCCAACCCAGCGACCGCGAGATTCAGTGGAGGGGCATCCCGTGACGGATCGCACTCGAGCCCAAGGTGAAGCCGCTGTGCAAGAGACAGTGAATCAGAACATGATCGTATTGAATGAGTTTACGTGCTGGGCAGCTGGACTTACGTCGACACGACCTCAACTGACCGACAGTGTAAAGGTGATGGAGTCGGCCAGCCAGGCCAAGGGTCGTAACATGAACAAGCTGGTGAATAAACAGACAAGACCCGTTGAACGTTATGACCCGTTAACGGTGTCGGAAGTGACAACGATGGCTGAGACGCCGCCTCAGATACCTTCGTTAGAAGGGGCTCGCCGGAACAAAACGAGCAACAACAATAAGAAGAGACCGAGAAAGCACCGCAAGAAAGGGCGAAAGTGCTGCTCGAAATGCACCGGATAGGTGTCGAGCTCAATTTGGAATGTGTTTGACAGTGGTATATGTTAATGTGATTGTTGTCCTGTGTCACAACTCTATGTCGAGTGAATCGAAATTTTTGTTACGGTGATGGGATGTATAGTATGGTACAATTGTTGTAAAGACAGACCTTTGTACATTTGTATTGCTTGAAGTATGTGATGGAGTATTGCATTCATGTAGCTGTGTCTATATTCTATGTGTTATGAGATTGAATTACAATGTACAATCGTATTGAGTGATATATTGTGAATGTGACGTGTCATAAGCGACGTACTAAGTTACAGTCTTTTAGAATGTGGGGACTGTTCGCGCTCGTTTGTGTGGTTTTGAATATTATGAGATAATATTCTTAAAGTGGGGGGCAGTGTCACAAAACGAGCGCTCAAAAAAGGCGCGCCGCCAAATTTTCGCGGCGAAACGCCGGAGTGACGCCGCGAGGTCAACGATAAAATAAAGAAAAACATCCAAAAACTCCCCGGGCGCGCGACCCTCTCCCCTTGGAAGCGTAGGTTCGCCGACGAACCTCCTCACCCCACATCGGCGGCCGAGAAAGCCCTCGAAATTTCTAGATGGAAAGGGGCGAGGTGATGCCGGGTTGAGTCATCCGTCGCGGACAGCCCTCGTACCGTCTCACGCTTTCCTCCAGCCTTCACTGCGCATCGCGCCGACGAAATGATGAGAATTTTCTGGAATCGCGCGCGGAAGATATTTAACCGAGCAGCGGAGATGGGAGATCAGGAGAAGACGGAAGTTAGCGTCAGAGCGCGTAGGGATTCCGCCGTGTAGTCGGCGAAGGTTTTGTCCGTAGAGACAAAGCAGGAGAAGAAGATGATTTCCACCTGAGGGGTGACGACTCGAGCTACAGGCAAGAGTGTGTGTTTACCGCTATCGAGCGAAGACGCGTGGCAACAGCTGCGTGTGTGAAGCCGACGTGTTTCCGGCGAAGAAGTTGAAGCTTGGAGAGTGGCCAATTGAAGACGCGAGGTTTCCTGGAAGAGAAACTTCGGGGGCAGCGGAACGACAATGCTGGACTTTGAGTGAGTGATTCTCGGAAGAGTATCATCCAGACTTTTGTTCCAAGAACTTTTGATTGAATAAGTTTTCGAACTCTTTAGTCTTTAAGTGTCTTGGTTGTTCGATGCATGCGACTGCATTGTAGTGCGTATTGTTGTCTGTGTCCGTTTTTTCGATTGTGGCTGATTGTACTGTGTAGTACGTTGTTTGATTGGTGACATATTGTACTCAACTGTTGTGGAGTGTGCATACTTGTGTATTGTTTTCGATCTGCCATTATTGAGAATATAATTTTGTTTGTTTATCAACTCTCGGCTCTGACTTAATCTTTGGGCCACAGCCGGCGTCCGCTGGCGCACCAAAAAGGACCACTTCTAAATTGTCCACGCTTTCGTGATGCGGTTCGGGGGGCCGATACTTCGGTCCTTCGAATTAGCCCGGCGATCGCCTCCCTAATTAACGGGACTTGTGACAGAGTGTGTGTGTGTGTGTGTGTGTGTGTGTGTGTGCGTGTGTGCGTGTGTGTTTGCGTGTGCGTGTGTGTGTGTGTGTGTGTGTGTGCGTGTGCGTGTGCGTGTGTGTGTGTGTGTGTGTGTGTGTGTGTGTGTGTGTGTGTGTGTGTGTGTGTGTGTGTGTGTGTGTGTGAAAAACCAAAATCACCACCATATACCCACTAATGTATCGAAATGCATGACGGACCAAAAGGTCAACCAGAACATCAGAAAAGACTAGAAGACTAGAATAGAAGGCCGCGATTCACAATCTAATGCACACTGTGTCGCCCTAGCATCAGCATTCGCTTCGTATATCCACCCTTACTTTTATTCACAATCTTTCAAACGCAATTTGACTCACTGTATAAATGATTCATCAGAAATGATTTTTATATGTACTGCTGCCAGAACATATAACCATACGCTCTCTCGGAAGGATGAGATAAAGGCATACGAGACTAGCACGTCATAAATGGGATTACACCATAATTACGCAGCTTCCAAAGAAAAAAGGTAATAACATTTTCTTACCTAAAATTGAAGACCAACACCAATATTAATAAAAACGCTCTCTTCATGATTGTCCTCGCGTTATGGAATTTTGGCTTTGGAAGGAAACATGGGAGCTCAAATTATACAGTTGCACAGCTTTAGTGGAGATACATAATTAATAAAACACTACTTCAGGAGGGTTTATTAAATCAATATGTATTTATCACCAAGTGTCCGGCTAAATTTAGTTCATTGAATGGAATGTTCGTGCTCGACAAAATAAACTAACCACATATTCGCTACATGATCATGAGCTCAAAGCAAAGTAACGATTTTGACAATTTCACAGACCTTTGTGTTGTTGTCTTTAAATAGCACGTACACATGAATACAAAAGTAGGAACAAGCGACAAAACACGCACACAATATATATATATATATATATATATATATATATATATATATATATATATATATATATATATATATATATATATATATATATATATATATATATATATATATATATCAGGTTAAGTGGACGAGTGAACAAAAAAAAAAACGCTAGGCCTGCGTGGTAGGCGCAGTGCACTCACAGCGAAAGCTAGACGAGCCGCCTTTCAGAGCCTTTTCAAAACACTCATCGGTTAACTACTGCAAGCACACTTGCTTGGTACCCGCTAGTGAATTATAATAAACTTTTGAACAGTAGGCCGGTGTTTGCTATGCTGTTTTTTGCCATTGTTCGGAGAAGCGTGGCATCCGCTAAACTTTTGCAAGGAATTTTGTGCCAATGATTCATGCAGTGGCTGACGACGATAATAATTATGGTGAAAGTGGGTATGCCCCACAATTATTTGCAAAACGAGAACAAGCTTTTGTAGTGGGTTGGAGCACTGGACGGCCCACTCGTTATGCTATTCGCATTGTGCGACGACTAGTTGTCCTTTCACTGTTTAAACACTTTATAAGTCATATTAACGCGATTCCTTTCCCGACATCAAGCCTGCTTAAGGCAAGTTTGACAACAAGTCACCAGCACCGGTTTAGCTCAGATCTTGACGCTCACCTCAAGGCTAGTTTTGTTTCTCTTGTGAACCCCTTGAAGGACAATGATTGTGCAGTCATTAGTGGGCCCATTACTACGCAGGAAATCAAGCAGGCAATCGACAACTTGCCTTTATTGAAAACACCGGGCCCTCATGGCATCTCAGGCGAATTTTACAAAGCTTTCAAAAAAACACTTGCTCCTATAATGCTGAATATTTTTCAGATGAGTTATGACATGCATACACTCCCACAATCATTTTGCAAAAGTCACACTGTGTTAATACCGAAAACAACTGACAAGGAAAAACTTCGCGTCGTCGAGGGCTACAGACCAATATCGCTGTCAAACGTGGACTACAAAATTTTTGCAAAAGTATTAGCAAATAGGTTGCAATTTGCTATGTCGATCCTCATTGGGTCTCATCAGACATGTGGGATCAGAGGTCAATCCATACGAACCAATATACATGTCGCTCGAACAGTGCTTCAATACTGTCATGGTTCTCAAAAACATCTTGCAATGCTTAAAGTAGACCTTGCAAAAGCTTTTGATCACGTTCGTCATTCCTTCCTTTTTTCTCTTCTCGAACAAGCTAATGTTGGCAAAGTTGTTCTTAAAGGCGTTAAACTATGCTATAATGAATGCTCAACTCGTCTGATAGTTAATGATCAACTCTTCAAGCCAGTTTCTATTCGCTCTTCTGTAAAACAAGAATGTCCGATGTCACTTTTTTTATTTGCACTTTATCTAGAACCACTGTGCTTAAGCATAATACAGTCGAGTTGCATTCGTGGCTTTAGTATATCTGGCAGTGAGGTTAAAGTATTGGCTTATGCAAACGATGTCGCATTCTTTTGCACAGATAAACCAAGTGTCGAAAGTGTGGTATATACTTTTGAAAAGTTTGGCGTAGTATCAGGAGCTCGTTTAAATGCCTCTAAAAGTTTAGGAATGTGGTTTGGCTTGCGGGGTAGCACACTGAACCACTTTGCAGGGATCAATTGGAGAAGAACTCCTCCAACATACCTCGGTGTACCATTGCATGCATATACATTCAGTGCGCATTAATGGAAGGAACGCGTCCCTAAGCTTGAACGACAGGCCCAGACGTTTGTTCCCTATCGACTTTCGATATTTGGGAGAGCTGAAGCTTGCAATACTTTCTTAGCGACAAAGCTTTACTATGCATTGCAACTTATTCATTGCGCAAGATTCTGTATACAACGCTTTCATCGGATTTTCGCTACTTTCATATGGTCTTCGACTTTTGAGCCCATGCGTCGTGATAATATATTCAAGCCAGTTAGTGAGGGTGGGTTAGGACTAAAACACCTTTATCTATGGCAAATAGTGTCCCGATTCTTTTTTTTTTTTCGAGACAATTCCCATCCTGTAATCCGTTCCTTCTTGCAGGTTACACTTGTTGATTGCTTACCAGAATCAATTGTTTCATCAAACTTCTCCGAACGCCCATGCTTGTGGGGATTCATGCAGGAAGTTTACCTCGCAGTTCAGTTCCTTAAAGCTCGCTTTTCTGTAGAATACCTGCACACAGTATCGCGCAAGGTGCTGTATAAGGACCTACTGAGTACACTCTTCCCACCTCCATTGTACCGCTCAGTGTACTCCAATCTTCCAGGCCACGATGTGTTGAAGCGAGTGCGCAAAATGTACATTCCACCGAATTCAAAAACATTCTTCTATAAACTCCACCCTGAAACATTGGCGGTAAACACATGGTTAGAAAGAAAGGGTATTTTCATTCCGTCTGTTAACTGCCGTCTATGTGATGTGCCGGAAACGATTGAACATAGCTTTGTTAGCTGCAAAGATGCCATACTGTTTTCGGATGTCTTCAGCGAGCACTGAAAAAACGTTTCGTCCTCAGTTTTCACACAATACGTTATCTTCTACCAGCAGCGCTTGATGATGTACCATATTATATGTTTTTCCTCATGGATATGCGCAGCGTGTGGAAGACACGAATGCAAGACCGCAATGCAGAGCCCACCACCTCTTCAAGCGCACGCTTCATTCAAATGGCTATCCACCTAAAAAACATTTACGATGAGCTAGACTTTAGACCGGACTGGTACTCCGTCTTAGAGAACTGTTTGCCCTCACCCATTTTTTGTTTGTATAACATGATGTGAAGAACTCTCCATGTAGGAACTCACGCTGTGTTAGCCATTTAGTGTTTATGAGTAACGCTTGAGCGCTTACTTTTGCTATTTGATTGTACTGTTGAGACGTTTATTGACGGACACTTGTCGACGATGCTTGACAGCGACAGTCAATGCGGGTACCGACTCTCTGCACGAGCTGCTCTTCTCTTTGCTAAAAAGGGCAACTCATTAGAAGGCGCTGAAGAAGACGACCCACTGTTCGAAGGCTTCGCCACAACTACCCCGTGTACGAAGAGGGAGCCGCCTGGTGACCTAACAGCTGGTTACTATGAGTGGGTCGTGGTAGGCTTTGAGGCGCTCCACGTGGACAATGTCGCGCCCTCGACGGCGCATGTCCGTAGATGGTTCGATGGGTTCGATCTAGTGATTTACAGGGGAAGTGCGTTCGACGACACGGTAGGGGCCTTCGTATTTGGGCAATAGTTTTGAAGATAGACCAGTTGAAGTGGTAGGGATCGAGAGCCAGACGAGCGCTCCAGGGAGGAACGTGGGCGCAGTAGTGCTGGTGTCAGCGCGAATGCCTTTTTGCCGCTCTTGATCATGCGCTGTAAAGGTCCTTGCAAGCTCTCGACACTCTTCAGCAAGCTTGGCTGTAGCAGAAATAGGCGCCCACTCTGACGGATCTGGCTTGTACGGAAGTACAGTGTCGCTGGTGTGCGACGGGTGCTTTCCATATAATAAAAAGACAGGTGAAAAGCCAGTAGTGCTCTGAGGGGCGGTGTTATATGCGTAGGTGACGAAGGGTAGAATGGAATCCCAATTTGTGTGATCGGCGGCGACGTACTTGGACAGCATGTCCCCGAGCGTACGGTTGAAGCGTTCAGTGAGGCCATTCGTCTGCGGGTGGTAAGCAGCAGTTTTGCGGTGAACAACGTTGCACTCTTTGAGAATGGCTTTGACGACTTCAGACAGGAAGACGCGGCCTCGATCACTGAGCAGTTGCTGAGGTGGACCGTGTGGCAGCATGAATCGTTCGAGCAGGAAGGAGGCCACATCGCTCGCTGTAGCCGCGGGGAGAGCGGCAGTTTCGGCGTATCGCGTGAGGTGGTCCACAGCAACGATGGCCCAGCGGTTACCAGCCGACGTTAGTGGAAGTGGCCCATACAAATCGATCCCAACGTGCCCAAACGGCCTGGCAGGGCAAGGTAGAGGTTGCAGACCTACCGGCGACAGGTGCGTTGAAGTTTTGCGGCGCTGACATTCTATGCAGGAGCGAACGAATTTCTGCACATAGCGGTACATGCCACGCCAAAATTACCGTTGGCGAATGCGCTGGTAAGTCTTCGATACCCCAAAGTGCGCATATTGCGGATCAGTATGAACGAATTCGCATATGTCAGAGCGCAGACTGCGGGGTATGACTAGTAGCCACTGGCGGCCGTCACCGTTGTAATTGCGTCGGTGGAGAAGGTCGTCGCGAACCGCAAAATGGTGGGCTTGACGACGCAATGCGCGAATAGATGGAGTGGATGGATCAGTCAGCAAGTCTATCAGTGAGGCAATCCATTGATCCTTGCGCTGTTCAGTAGCAACGGCATGAATGCTAATGGAAGAAACGGCAAGGTGAGACGCTGAGTCGTGGGCATTGTCGTCAGGCAAGGGAGAGCGCGACAGGGCGTCGGCGTCAGCATGTTGCCTTCCGTTGCGGTACAGCACGCGGATGTCGTAGTCTTGCAGGCGAAGTGCCCACCGGGCGAGACGGCCTGAGGGATCTTTCAATGATGACAACCAGCATAGTGCGTGATGGTCGGTGACTACATCAAATGGGCGACCATATCAATAAGGTCAGAACTTGGTAAGGGCCCAGACAATTTCCAGACATTCTTTCTCAGTGACGGTGTAATTAGTCTCGGCTTTTGTAAGCGTACGGCTTGCT